GTATTAAACTAATTTAAGCAACAAAAAAACTGAGGAGCCATTTGGGAGCCGAAAGAGCCGGCTCTTTTTAGTGAGTCGAGCCAAAAGAACCGGCTCTCTAAAAAGAGCCGGAATTCCCATCACTACAGTGCGAACAAAACACTGAGCGAATGCTCCCAGCGCACTCTGCCAAGGTGAGCGCCACTGCCCCCTAATGTAGTCGAGGTGCAATTGCACTTTATTCTCGGACAGTAAAAAAAATAAATAAATTTTAAAAAAAGCATGTTCCCCGAGGCCAAACGCGCCCCCCCTGACAGAGCCTCGCGCCCCCCCAGGGGGTGAACCATGTGAAAGAGTATTTTCTGAGGCTGGGGAGCTGGTGTCTAAGAGGAGAAATCGCCTTGGAGCAAAGACACTCCAAAAACTTTTGTTTCTCAATAAAAATTCATAAACTAATCACTTTTTTGTCTTTTATTTCACATGATTTAACAAAAATTTTCTACATAAGTTAAAAATTGTAACTCTGAATTGTAACTCAAATTTGCTATATTTTACATACCAACTCAGTTTAGCACTTACACAAACAAGGAATTTCTTTACCTGCAATGATTTTATAACTACTGCAGGGGTCACTATTGGGTGACCAACACAGTGTCAATACAGTGCTGACACAGTTTGTGAAGTGTGCCAATACACTCCTTGAGGTATCATCGTCCCATCACTACTCTTCATCAATGCAAAATAAAGTGCTGAGATAGACATCAATCACTTCTCGTAGGCTAAGAGGACACAGCAGCTACGCGTACGAGGCGTGTTCTCCTCGAGTTTAGTTTGGCGAAGTGCTTTGCTATGGCTAGCTAAATTGCTAACGCTTTCGGTGCTAACGTTAGCTGTGGCTGCACTCGTGACTGGGTGCTTTGTATTAATGTGGGAGGCGAAACTTGGGCTGCTTTGGTGGGAAGCAAACTCTTTCTTACAAATTAGGCACACCACTCTACCTTTATCAATAGTGCCGTCAGGGCGTTTTTGGAATGTAAATTTTCCACTCATTGGATCGAGATCTCTCACATGCTCCAACATTTTCTCCTCTCTTTTTCTCACCACTGCTTACTTACCCGCCCAACTTCATTGGGAGCCTATCAGCTTCTGCTAAACAAGCCCAAACATAATGACAGCCAATCAATGTCCGCTTCAGGCTGTGACTGACCATTGTTTCCCCATTCTCAACATCTCGAACACAGGAAGCTCACACATAAAAAGCGATATTACAGTGAAACTCCTCTACAACTGTTTGCAGAAAGAAATAATGTTTGCAGCAAGAAATTTTTCACAAGAGGGAGTTTTTCACCGTAGCAAATTTGATCTCAGATGTAAACAAACACACACACACACACGAACACACACACACAACCACAAACGAATGCGTACTCTTTATTTTTATTCTAATAGTGCATAAGTATGAGCATACACTTATTTGACACTTCATATAGTCAGTGTAGAAAGAAAAAAAAAGGGAAAGAAATTGCGAAATTTACGATCAGCATTCACTTTCACTTACATCAATTTCTTGGATAATGTCTTTTATTTTGCTTTTCCGTCTTTAATTTTGATCACTTTTACCCTCTCTTCCAGCGTCAGAGCTCTTCTTGTCTTAGCTGCTTGACATCCAAAGGTTCATTTTGGAGCCATTTTAGCAGTGCAACGTTCTTGCTGCGTCTCAAACTAACAATAACAAATACTTCCAGGACTACTGTGCATGTGTAAACCACTGTGGTGGTTGCTGTTGCCGTTTCTGAACGAAGCAGTAGAGGTCGCTGTTGGATTAGACTTCGTTGTAGTGAATCTCGTCGCGAGGCAAGAGCAGAGAAAAAGATTTCGTATAACGCAACAGTTTTTTTTTTCGTTGTATGGGGGGCACGAAAGTGAGAATGGTGTTAATGCATGAAGATTTTTTCACACTGGGGGGTATTTTCGCCCATGTAGGTTTCGTTGTACAGGAGTTTCACTGGATGGAAAGGCAACCCACCGACAGAAACAATAAAGCTCGAGATTAAAATTATGATTAACACAATTAAAAAAACATAACACAATTGTTAATTGTTGTATATATGATATTTGCTCCATGTATAGCACTTTGTATACTGCAATTGTTTTAAAATGTTCTATAAATACAGTTGAGTTGAGTTGAGTGTTCAGTGCATGTTGAGGCACGAGCAAGACGAAGCAAGCAAGTAGCAACATGAAGCTAACTGCGGTGGTCACACTCAACTTTACAAGTTACATAGGCAAGCACGGCTGGGCTTCTCTGAGATGTTCGGGACACACTCTGAATTTAGTTGTACAGGACACACCTAAAACAACAAAACCGTTGTTCATTGTGTGGCTTTTGTGAGCTTCATGGGGGAACTTTGTAAGAAAAATGAACCCAACTGTACTGTACTCAACTTAAATGTTTCAGCTCTGAAATAAAGAGAGCTGTCGTGTTGGTTTTTTAAAACATACACTTTATTAATTCGTTTAACACTCAAGAAAATATAGACACGTCTTTGTCCGTCTCCGTGCCTTCTCTTCTCTGGTTCTAGTGATGTGTCGTACGCGAACGAACCGGCTCTTAGAGCCGGCGCTTTGAAGTGAACGACGGGAGCTGGCTCCTAATCGGGAGCCGCTCCTAAAAGGAGCCGACTTTTTTTTTTATCCTGTTTTTCCCCCCCTTCGGTTAAAGCCGCACGTGATTGGTGGGAGAGGAGAGAGGGGGGGGTGACACACACACACACACACACACACACACACACACACACACACACACCCACACACACACGCTGCAGTGAGGAGAAGCGGGAGGGGTTAGAGACACACAGCAGCACACTGTGAGCAGCACACGAACAGGAGAGACAGGGAGGTGGAAAGTGGAAAGGTGAGAAACGCAGTGAAATTTGGACTCATTTCAACTTAATTGATAGTTCAAAGGCAGAGTGTAGACCAGGGGTGTCAAACTCATTTTTGTCGTGGGCCACATTTTAGTGACGGTTTCCCTTGGAGGGCCATTATGAATTTGGGCAAACCACATAAATGTTTAATCCTCTCCACATATCACAGATACAGCACACAACAAATTAATGAATAACTAGTTTTAAAATCAGAAGTCAAGAATAATGACTGTTATTGTGGATTACATATGACAATTTGAAATTTTGGTTCAGACTTTAGCAAGCATCATGGAACTTGACATGCCTGATTTGATTTCGCGGGCCACATAAAATGATGTGGCGGGCCAGATTTGGCCCCCAGGCCTTGACTTTGACATCTATGGTGTAGACTGTGCAAGGTTAAAATATCCCATCGATCAGGCTCCACAAATAACCTGCACAGGCACATAGTAACAGTCCACCGATCAGTACAATTTGAAGAGAAAAGACAAGCAAGGGAACCAGCTATTAATGAAGGTGCTAGTGTGTCTGCAAATGTTGCTGCTGCTGCAAATGTCACAACCACCTAGACGTACAACCCAGAGCTCGATGAGACACTTTATGCAAAAAGCTATAAACCCAGCAAAACAGAACACAATTGACGAGGAACTGGGTAAAATGATTTCAAGTGATTTTCAGCCATTTTCAACCGTGGATGACAAAGAATTCAGAAGATATACTCATGCTCTCAATCCAATGTATGTGTTATGTTTCGGTTTGTGACCAACAGGTGGCACTGTAGGGTTCCCCCTTCAGCTGCACACCTGTTGGTCGTTATGTCCTTAGCCGTTTAAAAGGACTCCTTCCCGACCACTCATTGTCGGTCGGGTCATTGTTGCTGTTGGCTGCTGTCATGTTTGTTCTCAGTCATGTTTCGGTTATGGTTAGTTTTTGCTTCTGTCACGTTTGCGAGGTGGTGGTGGACCCCAAAAAGCAGGCAGGAGCGAGGAGCAGGGTGTACTTGAAAGATTGTATTAAAACTCAGAAAACTAAATCCAAAACAAAGTCCAAAGTATCAAACAAAACACATGACTGAAGATAAAACATAACAATGACCAAAACCTGACTGGAACAACCATGACACCAGCCAACAAACAAACAATGACCTGACAAGGAGTGGTCAGGAGGGAGTCCTTTTAAATGGCTAATGACAGGGGCATTACTAGGTTTCAAGAACAAGGGGGGCTTAGCCCCAAGGGGAACACAGCCCCTTTAGGGGGGTCCGGGGGCATGCTCCCCCGGGAGAATTTTTTTCTACATTCTGTTCAAAATCCATCAATTCCGTGCACTTTGAGAGCAAAATGAAGAGGCTATGAAGAACTACACACATCACATTAGTATCCTCTTTACTATGATGGGGCTTCCTCCCCTGGACTTTAACTGGACTAGATAATAGAAATTATAAAGAGTTCAAAAGTTCAATCTTGGTTGTTCAAGGGAATTAGAAGGATGCCCGATAACATAACCTATATGACAGTAGGCCTATATTCCTCTCTACCAAAATGTATTAATATATGCTTAGCCCCCAGAAGACTATGTATTTTGAGATGTCTGCTGTGATATGCAATTTAAGTTAGTACAATGAGATGCAAAAGCTTCATCCCTTTGGAAAAACACAAGTTTGCTGCTAAATCCTTACTGTAAGCTCCGATTGCATTTTGGGAACAGCCTTGCAAGTAAAATTAGCCTTGAGATCTGATAGACTCACCTGTCCAGCAGAGCTCCCCCCCTCTCTGTGCGTCTTTAGCCTGATAAATTTATTTATTTTATATTTATTTATTTATTTTATATAGGCCAAAATCTCAATAGGTGTTGCCTCAAAGAGTTGGTGTAATGATTATTTGTGTATTTAATAATAAAATGTTGCTTACTTTTTATTAAGCACCACCTTAATTTATCCAAAAGTGAACACTTGTTACAGTGCAGTTTCTGCTGTTACTGGAGATATTTTAGCGGACTATAGTCACTAGTTTTACCAGCATGGATGCATTGAATACTTAATTTACCTTTCTAAAAAACTGTCGAATATCCATGCTGTCGACTCAACCTGACTTTCGGCAATGAACTGTCAGTTGTTGCGTTAGCATTTGATGTGGCGATGGTGACAGACACGTCAAATGCTAACTCAACACCTGTTGCGTTCAGGAAACCTGGGAGATTTAATATTACACTAATGGCAGGGTATCGAAATATAATTTAAAATGGCCACATTACATTGAATTTGATGCAATATATTAGCAAAAGTACAGGAAAAATAAATAATACTTTTTTTAAAATAATGCAATGAAATTATTTAGGGGGGCTAAAGACATTTTTAGGGAGGCTGAAGCCTCCCTAAAATAGGCCTAATGACGCCCATGGCTAATGACATAACGACCAACAGGTGTGCAGCTGTGCGGGGGAGGCCTACAGTGCCACCTGTTGGTCACAAACCGAAACGCGACAGTATGCAATTCCAAGCAGGAAAACACTTTCTCAAAGAATCATCCCAGGCCTATATGACAGAGAACGTGCTGCACTCCAAGAACGGGTCAAAAAAGCCACAGCTGTTTGTCTAACAACTGACTGCTGGATATCCCGAACCAATACATCCTACATGTCAGTTACATGCCACTTGGTTGAAAAATTCAAAATGGTGACCTGTCTGCTGGATTGTTTTGAGTTCAGTGAAAGACACACTTCTGGGAATTTAGCAGAGGAGCTGCTCAAAGTGGCCAAAGAGAGGGATGTGGAAAACAAAGTGGTTTGCTGTGTTAGCGACAATGCAGCTAACATCACCAAAGCAATTAAAACCCTGAAATGGACCCATCACCCATGTCTTGCACACACCCTTAACCTGGTTGTAAGAGATGCTCTGAAGGTGATGAAGCCCACTGCGGACAAAGTGAAGGGGATAGTGGAATTCTTCCACCTTTCACATGCTAAAACGGGTCCTGGAGTCCAAGGATGCAGTCATCTCTACCCTGGCTGTTATCAATGCACCTGTTGATCCTCTGAGCCAAGAGGAATGGGAGGTACTGCAGGAGGCATGCACTGTTCTGGAGCCATTTGAGCAGGTCACTGTGGAGATCAGTGCAGACAGGTACAGTGTACAAATGTTATCACATTATTCTGTTATTATTATTCCGTTATTATCATTTTTATTAGTTGCTATTTTTGCATTGATAATATGAAAATCAGATTAGACACGACCAGAAATAATAATATATACTCCTTAAAATAAAGCATAATTTGAACACTTATTGTTTACTCTTTTTCAGCTATGTTACAGCCTCTAAAGTGTTGATCCTTTGCAAGGGTCTTCAGAAAGTGACAGCTGAGCATCAGACCAGAGTAACCACAGGGAAAGTGAAAGAGTTAGTGGATGCTCTCTGTGTATCCATGGACAGAAAATTTCACAGAATGGAATGGAACACTGTTCTGTCAGAAACCACCATTCTTGACCCAAGATTCAAGAAGCTGGCCTTCACTGACAATAGAGCAGATGATAAAGCTCTTCAGAGAATAACTTCAGCAGCAGAAAGATCCAGCCAGTCAACTCCACTGCCAGGGGGCCAAGAGGGAGAAGAAACACAAGCATCTGCTGTTTGGAGGTTCTTTGAAGACCGAGCAACTGGAAGCACTACAAGACGGAATCCTTCATCAGATGCAATTCTGGAAGTGAGATCCTATTGTGAGGAGCCCCTTTTCCAGAGAAGTGCAGACCCTTTGAGCTGGTGGGAGGCCAAGGATTCAGGGTACCCACGTCTTACACATGTGATGACACGGAGACTGTGTATTGTAGCAACATCTGTCCCCTCAGAGAGAATCTTCTCCAAAACAGGGCAGATATTAACAGAGAGGAGAAACAGGATCAACCCCTCAAAGCTGAGGCACTTGGTTTTTCTGAATGCCAATCTTCGCTAAGGACTAGCTAAAACTTTTACCTGGATGCTGCTTTTTTTCTTTTTGTTTGACAAATTTTAATGTATAATTTGTCATGTGGTAATCAAAGCTTACTTATGTTGTTTTACTGGAAATAGTTAAAAGCTTATAAATATACACAATCAGAGATCGGAACTTTTTGTTGACATTGTTTTGAGATGGGTCTTTGTTTTTGTACTTTGTTTTTGTACTGTAGAATGTTTGGAGCACTCCATGTTGAACTCCATGTTGAGTATGTTCAGAAGAATATAAATAAAGCCATATAAATAATAAATATTTGATATACTGTATATTTTTTACATTAGAAATTCGTTTTACACATAATTTTACATTATTTTTGGTAGTAAATTAAGCAACAAAAAACTGAGGAGCCATTTGAGAGCCGAAAAAGCCGGCTCTTTTTAGTGAGCCGAGCCAAAAGAACCGGCTCTGTAAAAAGAGCCGGAATTCCCATCATTATCTGGTTCAGCTCGAGAGGCGTTCAAAGACCGCCTCCGAAAAAACATAAATTAACGATTACTTCAAAGACACTAAGAAAAGCGAAAATAATGCAACAAAACAGAAAATCAAACGAGGAAATCACAAAATAAATTCTATTGGGTGTGGGGGGTGAACACACAACAAATGAATAAATAACAAACAATTCTGAGACAGTCCAATCCCTACATAAAGAAAAGCAGAGACAAATGGGAATGCCTCCGCTGATGATCAGATCTAAGGACTTAGTGGACCAGTACGAACGAGATGCTGTCCAGGTTTGTTGGACAATGACGGTCTGTGACCGCAGCTCTTTCTGATCTTTCAGTAAATCCAAGAGCCAAACACCACAATTCGATTTAAAGCTAGAGCATTGTAACCTCAGTGAGGAGCCAACTTAGGTCCTTGAACCATTTAAAGGAGCAAAAGTGGGGAACAATTAGTTATTCTTTCTGCTCTTCTCTAGCTGGTCCAAAATCTAAAAAAATTAACACTGCGTTCAGAGTTTCAAGCTCCATCAATAAAGACATCCCCGGCAAAAGAGGTAGAACACATCACAGAGGGGTGGCAGGTACTATTCTCATTTCAATGTGAAGCTCATAACATAATCTTGCCAGCTGCTTTGGACCCAAGATTTAGAAAATTGAGATTTTTGATTGCTGAAGATGTGAAAAGGAGGAAAGAAAGTCAACTGGAAGCGGAAATGAAGCTTCCAGTGACTCCACAGAAGAAGATAATTCAGCCACAAAAGATCATGGTCACTCATGAAGACTGGGATCATCAGATGACTCCACCAGTGATGATGAGGATGCAGATGAGCAGCTAAATCAAGTGTATTTTGGAGAACATCCTTGTTCGAAAATATGAACCCACTCCTCCGGGGAAAAACAAATGCAGCACAATAGCTAACCTCGGCAAAGCTGGCAAAGTCGCATTTTGGTGTCCCAGCAACACCAACACCCTCACAGCATTTGATTCCTGCTGCTGGGGAGATTATTGCCTTTAAGCGTAGGGCAAGCCTTCGTGGTGAGCATGTTGATATATAGATGTTTCTCCATTTGAATCGTAAGCTTTTTTAAAGGCTAAGGCACTCATTTGCACATAAATGCATAAAGACAAGATACAATACACAAACTCTCTCTCTCTCTCTCTCTCTCTCTCTCTCTCTCTCTCTCTCTCTCTCTCTCTCTCTCTCTCACACACACACAAACACACACACACACACACACACACACACACATTTGGAAAATGTTTATCTTATTTGTTATTAAACTTGTTTAGTTTTGTTATACAGCACATTATACATGCTCCACACAAAGTTAACAAAACTGTATTGATTGTTTTGTTCACAAATGAAAGCCAATTACATAGATTAGGAATTTGGCATGCCTGTCGTTTCCATTTGGTATTCTTTGGGAACAGTATTACATTGCAGTTTGTTCTGTGCCTGAGCAGCAATTTCACAAGTCATGATATAGGTTGGGCGGCCCGGTGAGCGAGTGGTTTGCGCGTCAACCTCACAGTGCAGGCGTCGTGGGTTCGATCCTGGCTCCAGCTTTCCTGTGTGGACTTTGCATGTTCTCCAAGTGCCTGCGTGGGTTTTCTCCGGGCACTCTGGTTTTCTCCCACATTCCAAAGACATGCATGGCAGGTGAATGGAACACTCTAAATTGTCCCTAGGTGTGAGCATGGATGTTTGTTCGTCTCTGTGTGCCCTGCGATTGGCTGTCAACGGTTGTACGCTGCCAAGAAACAGTCAAGCTGACCACATCAACAATTGTGTCTGGTATGCATGACAGTAATATGCTGACAATGCAGTAATACGGGCATCTTCAAACCTTACCTTACTAAGTCATATAATATGGACAATCCAAGGTAAGGTTTAATTTTGAAGTTGTTCCCAGCAGTGCGTTGCGGCCAACTTGACTTGTTACTGTGTGGACAAGCCGAGTGGAGAACAGTGGGAGGAGGAGAATAGGGCTATTATTGTAACAAAACCGTTTACAAATGCGTATCTTAATCCACAAATATGTCAAAAGAATGAGAATCTGTAACCACAGTCACAAAGGCAAAAGAAGTCTACAATAGCGTGACTGAAGTAAAAAATGTGTAATGTGAATCTATAAAATGCGTGATTGAAATCACAAATGTGTCGCAAATTTGCAAACGTGTAGATTTATTTGAGGGATGTATTGTATTGTATTGTATGTCTGAATACATCATTAAATGTGTATATCCAGTATATCAGTAAGTGTGTGATCTGTAAACACCAAGCATCTTGACTGGCTGTCTTATCCCATGACCTTTGCTACATTTTCACTCATTTTGTCCATGTTTGAAATGGCATTATTATCATGCATCCAGTTAGGAAGTGCATGGCTCTATATCGCCTTCCAGTAGCCCTGATGAAAAATTGTGGGCCCCACCATCACTTAGGGCGCTCAACCTTGATCTATGGTCTATAGCAGGGGTCGGGAACCATTTTGACTAAGAGAGCCATAAAAGCAAAATATTTGGAAATGTATTTCAGTGAGAGCCATAAATATATACACACACATACATATACTGTATATATATATATATATATAGAGAGAGAGAGAGAGGTATAGGTATGGTTTTACTTTGTATATCGTGTCTAGATAAGCTTTGTTGCTTAAGAAGTACAGTGTACTTGTTTGCATATCATTGTTTCATGAATAATGAAAAGCCACACATTTGCATTATTGTTGTAATCAGACTTATGATTCATGGATTTATGCTCACGGCACACTAGAATTTGGTAAAGTTGTTGTAGCAAATGCATTGAGATACCTTCGGTAATCGTTCTTATTAATTCATGGTTGATTTACCTTTGTTTTAGTGTAGGCATAAGCTATGAGACCAAAACATGTATCTTTAATAAATGTGATACTATAATCGAGATTAATATGTTGCTTGTTTGTTTAAAAATACAGGGTGACAGGACCTTGAAAAAAATAATCACCTATTGAATCTTAATCGCAATATTGAGGAAAAAAATTGCAACTTGATCATTTTTTTTCTAAATTGTTCAGCCCTAACAGAAACTGTTTTGAAACGTTTGGGTTCAGCATTGCTTGGTGGTCCGGTTCAGATGGTCTTAAAAGCCACTGGTTCCGCACCCTGTTTTAACAGTTACGATCAGTGACACTTTTTTTGTATTTTTTTACTATTTGTAGTTTGCATTCCATCTTTTAATCACATGTAATCCAGGTAAATGTTTTCCCACATGCTCTGAAGATATTCTGAAACGACTTGCGATGTGTTTCAAACATGCACTGGTGAACCCCCACTTCCCTGCGTGTATGGTTTTCTCCTTTTACAGTTGGCCTCCTGTTGTAAATGAACCACAACACTCCGAGAGACCTCAGACCACAATCGAATGAATCGTGGTCAGAAATTCCTCTCAACATTGTGTGTTCTCCTCAGAGTCAGACTGCAGCTCCTCGCCTTTCAAAACCACGTTTTGGGTCGTTCGTGTCTGCGGGGCCTGCATCGTCGTATTCGCGCTGCTTTTGTCGCTCGCTGTGGAAATGAGCTTCGTGCCCCTCTCGCCACGTGTTGCTTCTTCAGGGGGTTCAAGCAAACAATAGGAGACATTGTCAGACCCTGAAATCCAACACATTGCACCAGTTTGTCACACTAACGGGTTGAGCTTTGTCCTGGCATGTGCTTCCCGTCACTCCCAGTTTACATTCCTACTACGGAAACTCAAAGAATCAGTGGCAATGTTTTTT